ATATGCCATAAACCCACCAAGGGGCCATGTCAGCTCACTGTAAGTGGAGGGAGACCATTTTACCGATTGTGAGCCTTAACATGGGTCACCATAGATTCTTTCCTGGGTTCGTCGGTTAAGATCCCGGTTCGCCTAAGATCCCGCGTTTCCTTGCTCCCGAGCACCGGGATCTTAGGCGGAGACTACTGTATATATATATATATAAATAGCTTTCAAGGTCTGTGATTAATTCCTGCTTGTGGTTTGAGAGATGCATCTAACGTTGTATTATAGTCAGCTTTATTTTTCTCTTTAAATTGAGTTTTTTCATGGAAGTAATATACAATTTAAATTTTAGCTATATCACATGTGTTTTTACCATTCTTATACAGCCACAGAAAATTTCCCATGGGGACAAAAAAGCATTATCATATCTTACCTCATAAAATAAATACTTTAAATCTCAACATTTCATCAAGAAGAGATTAAGGCAACACAGACACTGAAAAGAAGAAGACTGCGTCTGATAAAGTGCGCCCTAAAAACAGAAAAGAGACAAAACAAATGTGAACAGGAATTAAGAAATTCAGTGACATCTGGAGAGACATTGATTCCTTTGCACAAGAAAGACTTGAGGCCAAGTGGCCGCCAGCCTCCAACAATCCAAAGGATGCACTCACCTCCATGGGAGTGGCAGCTAGACATTGGATGGAAATCCAGCCTTAACTGTGGTGATGGCCCAGTTCCTAGTTCAAGTTTTCAAGTTTCACTGTTCCGCCAGATAACTTGCACAAACTTATCCCCTATCACAATGCCTCTCTGACAGGCAAGTTGACTCCCTCGACACTTAAAACTGTCTGTCTTGTTGGATTCCACAGGGGACGTCCCCTTGGAATCTGAGATAAATTAACGTCTATGTTTGAGCTGAAATGAAGAGGGGGACAAGGTCACATCATATTGTTCTAGAATACAGTATGGTGATGGAAAAGCATTAAAAACAATGAAAAAAGAAAACAAAATGGGAAGACTACATTAAACATCTTTAAAAATACTTTTGAAATTTTATGATGATTCAAAGATACATCTACCTACAGCAGACAAATCATTTATGTAACAATGTAAAGATACAAAATACACATATGAAAAATCTACTCCATCGCTAGTGCAATCTAGGCCTACCCTGTTTTGAACGAGACGAAAACACCACATTGCTTAAGAAAAAATATACATTTCTTATGAGCTGCTTCCACTAGGATTCAAAGACACAAAAAAAACCCAAAAAAAGACTAAAACAGAGGACAGGCATGGGATAGTTAGATCTGATGGGTTTAAACTTGTACAGCAACCAGAAGTTTAGAGGTTTATTCTCCTGTGAAAAAATGCGTCTCAACAAAAAGTGCTGTCGCGAAAAAATGCCTGTCTCCACATAAAGTCATATTCTCTGTCTACAGAACATACTTCTGAAAGGCATCAAGAGATGGCAAAAAGAAACCAATGTAGAAATAATCTCAGAAAGTTGTCTCTATACCATTCAAAAGATCCTAACAGACAAAAGGTCTTCACTAATTTAAACAATAAATTAAAAGATGAGTGTACTATCACAATATCTTATTTAAACTAGAATATTGAATTGCACTAAAATTTAAAATTGCTGTTCTTTATTTCTATCACTGCAAAAGAATTTTTGCTCACTATATTTTTCAGCCCTCGTATCTTATGCGAAGTACAAAAGTAGATTTACATCATTTAAAATATCACTCAAGTCTGTTTCCAACAAAGAAAGGAACAATCAACTCAAGTAATAAAAAAAATAAGCGGGACCCTATTTTCCAGGAAGAGCAGATGTCAAACCCCGGAGAGGTTTATAATACAGTTCTACTCATTACTGTTGAAATGTACAAGTATGTTAATAAAAAAAAGTCTGAGGAAAAAGAATCACCAGGAATAGAGACATCCCATAAGAAAGGCCCCAGTGACAAACTTTTACAGGGACTTCTATTCAGGCAGGAAACTCATACTATACATCAATCAATATTAAAGAATATTTGACCTTCCACTAATTTGTTCAGGGACTAGTTTCTGTTGTTGTTTTCAAATCCCTTTAGCTGCGAGTATTTTGCTCTTGGCAGCGCATTGCCTCCCTCAAGAAACCACATGTCCTTGTCATCTAGTCAACGCCAGAGTCAAGTTTCTGTTAACCTCAGAGAAAAATATGGGCTGCCATAATTTTGATGTTGGGAAGAAATTGACTGTCTAGTTACAGCATCTAACTTCAATATGCGGGAGGTTTCAAACAGACAAATCATGTATAATCTGAGGACTAAACAGACATTTTTTTTACCTAACTAAATTTGCTAAATTTTACTATGAGGAACAAAAAGTTAAAAACAATTTAGTACAGTGGAACTCGGATTCAATGAGGTCGGCGGACCTGACCAAAAATCTCGTTGAATCCGAGTGTTCATTATAGCAAACACGTAGTTTCGTGTAGATAATTACAGGCACTGAGCAAGTAATGTAAAAAGAGAAGTCACAAGTACTGCCTGAAAAGCCTGCAAATTATGAGCTGAGTAAAAAAAAAAGACCGATTCGTTCATATATGCACACGACTGTGTCATCTCGATTGTTTACCAAAATGTTGTGTTACTGTGTAGAGCCTAGCATACGGCAACTTTTGACTCCATAGACAAGCGCACAATTCATTACGTAGATTTACATCACGACGAGCTTATCATTGTAATAATGATCAGTTGCCGAAGGGGAAAAAAGACTACGACGCGTTTGTATCTGCGACGTTCAACGCCCAGACCACTAGAGCACCCCCCTCCCTGACACGCACACTCAGCCACACGTATGCAGGCCGCCCATACAAACCCGACACACGCCAGAGTAGACACGTGTGCAAAAAGGCTGCTGATTATTCGCATGCAATCGGTTAAGTGAATAATGGTTCACGATGCAGGTGCGATGGATGCTTTCCGGGAATAGACGAAGTTCGTTCTGGGAGAAAAATGAGCCAAGCCACGTCTGCAGGGGCTGTTCACCATGGAAGCAACCTCGTTGAATCCGAGCTCGCTGGTTTAAGTGCTCGTTGAATCCGGGTTGTTTTTATCGATTTTAAAGAAGAAAAAAACCCGGGGAATCTACCTCATCTAGTTGAATCCGAGCTCGTTGAATCCGAGTTCCACTGTATTGGACAGCTGTACAAAAACACGGTGTTGAGTTGAGATCTGTTATTGTAATTGAGAAATCAATATTTTTCAGTGCTAGATCTAGGTCTCCCCAAAATCACCATTTTTGGGGGAAATTACACAAAATGTACCACTCAAGACATGAGGTATAGGTTTATTCCAAATGCAATTCTGAATAATTTCATATAACATACAAGTGTTTTCCTTCTGTTTGTGAATGCATCATGTCCTTTTTTCAAGATTAGAAATTTTTGGGGGGGGATTTTCAATATCGGATGTTATGTTGATGGAAGTGGCTATCCTCACCCGGGGTGAGAATAAAAATACGATCCACCTCTCATCCCGGGTGAGACTTGCCAGCGTTGGCTATTCTCACCCGGTGTGAAACAAGACCTGTTTTTCCTAATTACGGAATACTGTCTATCGGTATGGATGATCAGATAGACAAAAACAAAGAAAAAAATGACATGATAGCACAAAAGTAAGTTAATTAGTAATTTGGTGGTCTACAAAGATGCTATGGCTATTTCATTTTTCGAATCGAGCCGAACTATGCGGGTCACCATTTTGTTTTGCCCGGAAGTTCTCGCAAGATCTACTCCTTCTCTCTCTCTCTCTCGCACTCCCTTTCTGAACACTGTCTATCCGTGTGGACGATCAAATTGACAAAATCAAAGATAAATAATGACGATTCACTATGACGAAGATCTGGAGGAGCATTGGTGGAGGACCATCGACTTCCTGACACTGGTGGGCAGAGCAGGCATTGTTCTGAATCTAGACAAATTTCAGTTTGCTTGACGAGATGTCGAATTTGCAGGGTTCCATGTCTCAGAACACACTATAAAGCCCCTCCCAAAATACCAGGAAGCCATTCAATCTTTCCCCACCCCAAAGAACACCACTGACATCCGTAGCTGGTTTGGCCTTGTGAACCAAGTGGTTAACTGGTTAACTATGCTCAACTACGAGACGTCATGGCTCCCTTTCGACCCTTCCTGAGCCCAAAGTACAAGTTCTTTTGGACTCCTGTGTTGGACCAGGCCTTCAGTGATTCCAAGCAAGCCATCATAAATGCAATCCCCCTGGGCGTAGAGATATTCGACACCTCCAAACCTACTTGCCTCCGCCCAGATTGGTCCTCACGAAGGATTGGCTATTTCCTCCTCCAGCAGCAGTGTTCTTGCACCACTGGTATGCCAGACTGTTGCCAAGATGGCTGGAAGATCACACTGGCAGGATCCCGCTTCGTTAATGGCGCTGAACAGCGCTACGCACCCATTGAAGGCGAGTCTTTAGCGATTGCCTGGGGCCTAGAGCTGACACGGTACTTCACCCAAGGCTGCCCCAACCTCATCGTGATCACGGACCATAAGCCACTCAAAAAGATCTTCGGAGATCGCACCTTCGATGAGATCTCAAACTTCCGCCTCTTCCGCCTGAAGCAGCGCACCCTGCCGTGGCATTTTCGCATCGCCCACTTACCGGGAAAAACAATCTCTGCAGCAGACGCCACTTCTCGTCATCCCTGCGCATATACAGAAGCATCACCCTAGGACTGCTCTGAATCCTTACTAATTGCATCCATATGTCAGAACGCAGAGGAGCTCACCTCCATCCCCTGGTCTCGGCTGGCACAGGAGACAAAAGCGGACTCTGTCCTGTCCCAAGTGATGACAGCAATATCGGAGGGATTTGTCCATGACAACCCATCAATCTCATCCTTGATTCGATACAAAGACTCCCTGTACACCCTAGATGGTGTGGTCATGTACAGCGATCGTGTGGTGGTGCCATCGTCCCTTCGACCGTCGATCCTTGAGGGACTGCATTCAGCACATCTGGGCGTATCAGCAATGGAACTACGGGCCCAAGCCATCGTCTTCTGGCCGGGTATCACCAACGACATCCAATCTACAAGGACAAAATGTCGTGAGTGCAACCGGAACACTCCATCCCAGGCTCCACTGCTGTCTGAACCAGCAATCCCGCCATCCACCCCTTTCGAACAAATCTTCGCTGACTTCTTCGAGTTCGGTGGCCACCACTACCTCATTGTTGGCGACCGTCTTTCCGGATGGTCAGAAATATTTTCTACACCCTCAGGAAGCCCTCACTCAGGGGCCTGAGGCCTGATAGCATGTCTCAGATTGTTCTTCACCACCTTCGGCGTCCCTGAGGAGCTCTCCAGTGACGGGGACCCTGAGTTCACAACAAGCGCCACCGGTGAATTCCTTCAACGTTGGGCAGTGAGGCATCGCCTGTCCTCCGCGTACCACCCCCAATCCAATGGCCGTGCCGAGGTTGCTGTGAAGAGCGCCAAGAGGCTTCTCCGATCTAATGTGGGCCCAACAGGGACATTCGACAACCACCCCCTACTGCATGCCATGCTTCAGCTGCGCAATACTCCCGATCCCAACTGCAATGTGTCACCAGCCAAGATCATCTTCGGACGCCCCATCTGTGATGCCTTTTCCTTCACTAACAGACTGGAAAAGTTCTCTAATCCGGCCATCAATCCCCTATGGCGAGAGGCCTGGGCATTAAAAGAGGCTGCTCTCCGAGCACGTTACACCAGAACTGCAGAGACATTAAACGAAAATGTCAAAGCTCTCCCACCCCTGTCCCCAGGTGACAGATGCTTCGTACAGAACCAAACTGGGAATGCGCCTAAAAAATGGGACCGCACACGGCTGGTGACAGAAGCGCTGGACCACAACCAGTACATTGTCAAAATTGATGGCTCTGGACGTGTCACTAGACGCAACAGATGCTTCCCCAGAGCATTCAAACCGGCAACGACTGCAACCGAACGAGCCCCTACTAGGCAGTCGCCCACCATTCTAGAAACAGCACCGGTTCCCTCTTCATACCCCACTCCCCCAGCCCCATCGCTGCTCCCGCTGCATCCGATGTAACACAGGAGGGCACCCCATGCCCCCCTTCCGCACCCTTTCCTGACACCGCTATCCCAGGTCCCAAATCGTCTTCTTCTACCATGTCAGAAGCACCGACCACCCCTGTCGTGCCAGAAGTGACTACCCCCACCGGGCAAGAAGCAGCCCCTTCCAGAACCCACAGGGCCTTGCAACGTCTCATGCCACACAATAAGCCAGGACTCAAAGAGACTGTGACCCCTCAGCGGCGAAGAAAGCCCCTTGAGAGGCCATGAACTTGGGGGGGGATGTAGTTGTATTATTAGTGTTATTCATCAGTTCATTTCCTATCATCATCATCATCACTTTGCGTCCCTCGGGGAATCATGCGTGTAGATCTAGTTTTTCATTCCGTTCTACATCACCGTCTAGTGTTTTCCATTTTATTTCCGTTTATGTCGTCATCACTTGTAACCCCGTTGAATTATTAAAAGTTCATTGATGTTATTCGACAAGTGATGAGTCATTCTTTATGATGAAATTGACATGGTTTATGTATTCTTAATCCCAACGCAAAGTTTAGAATATCCAGTCGGGGAAGCATAGACAATGATAGAGTCTTGTCTAGATCTAGATCTAGATTAAAGATCTAAATACGATCTCTAGATCTAGGCGCGGCCGGAATTTTACGCGAGAAAGTAAACAATTGTAGAGTCCTCGCCTCAGGCCCACAACACCGGGGTGGGAGCTATTCTCACGGGGGGGGGGGTATGAGAATAGCGAGACATGGGTTATTCTCACCCGACGGTGGCCTAACTTCTAGTTTTTAGATTCTAAAATGATTCTAATCTCTAGACAGATCTTCTAGATCTAGCCAATGAGTGTAAGGTAAATTTTTACTTTCACTCCCGCACACAGATGCACTGCTTCTGGGGTCAAACTGCAGTACTGTTTGCTGCAGATCACACATAAAAGTAAGCCACTACAACTGTCGCAAATCAATTATTTTAAAGAAAATTTCAAATCTACCTGTAAAATATCAAATTATGGGTTAAAACAGGGGGAACAGGGGGGCCCCCCTGTAACCCCCAAGATTTTCTTTTACCCCAGGGGAGCAGGCCCCCCTGGAACACCCCGATTGGCCCAAAGCACGTCTAGATTATCTCGATTAAGAACAGACCAAATATTTCAAAAACTATTAATTTGCGACCAAAATGAAGTTGATATTCATGTTCAGAGCATCAATATTTAGTAGGAAATGGACAACTGGTAGCTAAGTGTGTAAATACAGAGTTTAAGGGAGGACTTCCCTAACGTGCGACCACTATGAAACAGAGCAGCAATTGATTAAGGGTTGGGGGTAGGGTTTGGGTAAGGGTTAAGGTTAGGGTTTGTTGGGTTAGGGTTAGGGTTAGGCCTGTTCTTTATTGTGTTTGACGGGGTGGTCGCTTGTTACGGAAGTCCTTCCGAGTTTAAGACAAGAGCAACGTTTTAATTTTTACTTACCTTGCCTTGCCTTGCTAAGCTAAACACATAGATCTAGATCTAGATCTAGATTTTAGAATATATATTAGAATCTAGATCTAATCTAGATCTAGAACTACGGAAGGACTTCCGTAACGAGCGACCACACCATCAAACACAATAAAGAAGAGGCCTAGACCTAACCCTACCCCTACCCCAGCCCTACCCCTACCCCAAGCCCTCAATTCTGCTCTGTCTCATAGTGGTCGCTCGTTACGGAAGTCCTCCCAGAACTACAGTTAGAGCAGCATTTAACTTAAGGCCACCTCTGTTCTCACCCGGAGTGAGAATAGTGCAGGCGAGTCTTGTGGCTATTCTCACCCGGTGCGCGTTCAC